TAATTTGTTTTCTTATTAATTTTTATTATTTATTTATTTTAGTTTTTAACGTTATTAATCTTTTTATTTAAAGGTCGCCCTTAGGAAAAAGGGACGTATCGTCGGGATCGGTTCCGTTAACGATGTCCCCACAACGACATCGTCTTATGCTCAGGAACAGCATGATGTTACTACTCAGCTGCGCTTGGAGTTGCAGGCGACGCAATCTCATGTGAGTTCTCTCACCGATATCCTGGACGTTTTGGCGGTTGGAAACCCGCAATTGGCGGAGATGTTTCGTGTCAGATGGGAAAACGGAGGGCTTCCACCGTCACAGTCACAACCAACGACGACCAACATGGACGAGGAGGAGTTGGCGAGCCGGGATGACGACTTCGTTCGTCAATTTAACAAGCACCATCTGTAGATTACTTTTTTTTTCTTTTTTTATTGTATTATGAATTTAAAACTTAAATATTTAGTTATCTATAATATATTTTGTTATTTCTTTTTTTTTTAATTTGGATTTTTGATTTTTTAAAAATATATTATTTATATTTATTTTGATTATTATTTTTAATACGGAAAAACATATCGAAGTAATTTCCTCGTAACATATTACGACGCGTTTACGAGTATTATGTTTCGAGGCTTTTACGAGGAGAGTTCACGTGCCTTTTACGAGGAAACCTTACAAGGACATTATGAGGAAATATGTCTCCACGCTTTTACGAGGAAATATTTCCTAGTAAATTTACGAGGAAATTACGAGGAAAAAGGCTTTACGATGAACGTGTTATGACAAAACGTGTTTCCTCGTAATTTCCTAGTAAATGGGCCTTTACTAGGAAATTACGAGGAAAAGCCGTCCTAGCAAAACTTATGTTTTTTTGTAGTGCTATGCATATGAGTGTCGATCAATAGAAGCATTAAAATCCTAATCGATATTTTCATTAAGTAAATTTAATTTAGTTTTCGTGTGCATCTAACAACCTAGCTCACCAGAAGTATCATCAGATATAGAATCTACTACCATAGTTGTTTATATGTTAGGTTTGTTGGAACTATTTTTTGGACATTGTGAATAATGTATTCATATGTCAAAAATAAGTTTTATTTGAATGAGAAATAGAGGTCTAATATGTGTAATTTGAGAAAATTTATAAAGTAACAAGTATACATATTAGATATTTGGATTTAGATTTAGATTTTGTTAGTAGGACTTCATGTTCATTAACAAAATCTTATAAACCAAATATATGTTGATCTTTTATATTAATAAAATATAAAAAAGAAATCCATTTTAAAATTTATTATTTAGTTTGAATTGGTCAAATAATAATAATTTTACTATTTAATTTCTTGGTCAAAATATGGAATAAATTTACATATTAATTGATAAGAATTAAATAACTCCATTAGTACACAGTGGAATTTTCTTTTTTTTTGTTCGAAAATGAAACATGTGCTTCTAATTATTTTTCTATGAAAAGGCTTGTAAGCATTATACAAAAACATACACAACAACAAAGAAAAGTCACATTCCCTCATATGAATATTTTAGAGTTTTTTTATTTATTTTTTTGAGTCTGAGAGTACATCACAAAACTAGATTCGTTAGGCTTCTGATAGAGTGACGCACATCAGAAGATTTGTGCAGTTGTATCCTGGGAATCTGAGTGCTATTAAACCGTCGCACTACAGGGCGTTTAAAGATTTAAGGAAAGAGATTAACTATCTCGACTCTGCAATTCCTCACTATTTGTTTGTTTCGGTATTGTAATTTTGATTTAGTGTTCTTATTATTTTTACAAATATCAGTTGTCCCCATTGTAGTAAAATAAGGTTCCTACACTTCAATTGGTGACAGATTGTCCTGTGGGAGTGCTGTTAAAGGGTGAGGACCTGAGTTTGAGTCTCACCAACAACCTAATTATGAAGTTAGTGAGAATTAATAATGGAGGCGTTGGGGTCGGTGCCCTGCAGCGCCAGCCTGGCGGCCATGGAGCGGGTAGTTCCCACGGGGAAAGTTGTTACGATAAGGTTCAGATTTCTAGAGCTACTTTAAACACAAGCAATAAGCACAACTGTGATAAATGATCCTTATAAATTCACCCTAGCAATTCTACGTTTCAACAATACATATAAACCCTAATAAAGCTCTAAATCTTACAAAAAAAAAACGTCTGAGACATGATTAAGAAAAACATATCAATAATCTATATATAATGCATAAAGTAGAATAAGGTAAAAAATAATGGAGTTTCAATAAGAATCTCTTAGAGAATCTTAATTTTCTCTCCAAAACTATTAAAAACCTAAAAATAATATGTTGTGGTAAGAAAATATAAAAGCTTGTGTTTTGTCTAAGCAATGGCAAACACACATAAATAGTAGATATTACGTCGGCCATAGGTAGTTTTGTAATTATATGGATTCTCTGGGCTTCAAATTGGTCACGAACAAGTTGGGCCGTCTACTCGAGTCGGTGTGAATCGATACTAAGAGGGTAGTGTCGATCAACACTTCTCATGAATCTTGACACTAAGTTCTGATTAATTATTCAACAACTATGAGTTTCCTCATCATTAAGCTCCAGAATGCTAGACCTGAAAAGACTATAAAACAGACTTTAAACACATATAATAGTTTCTAAAAAGTACATATACTATTGGTGGAAACTGGTAAAATCTATTATATATCAATTCTTCCAGATTTATTTTTTTTTGTTTGTTCCTAAGCAAATAATATAAAAGACTGTAAAAGAGATTTGAAATCGCAGGGATTCACACAATTTTAATTTACTATTAACACCTCTGCAATGTTGCAGCCACATCAAATCAATTCCAACTTTAGAGGTACCTTATGTACTTTACCATAGCTTAGAAAGCAAATCCATCTATCAAAAAACTTAGCTCATACTGTCTGGCAAACCCCTCTACTAACCTCATTTCTTACATATAAAAAGGTGCATGTTTTACTTCAAGACTTGCATGAGGAATACGATCCAATGTATATCAAAACCCAAAATAAGCAATTAAAATTGATTATGTTGGAGGTCAGCTTCGATTCCTTCAAACATTTTTAGTAAGTGTCGATATTATTGACATGTGATACACTTTGGTATTTCTTTCCAGTACACCTTCCCACCAGTAAATCTAAGAATGGTGCTAGAGAGCCATTAGATAATAAGTAAAACTTCAAAATGATCATTATCCCATTTTTGATTCTATGAAAAAACTCAATAAAAATACATAAAAATAAAACTAAAAACTAAACACAATATAAGTAAAACCTTCTCCAGACTTAAATAAAACTGTCTCCAGTGTTATATAGTCTCGGATTGGTGGAAAATAAATTACAAGAACGAAATTTAACAAGGAAAAATGCTATACTTACTCGATGATGGGGAGTGCCGATCAACATAGTTAAATGGCGATCGATACTCGGATTGCTATGGCAACATTAATCAAGCGTCAATAGATGCTCTATGTAGACTCATCTTCCTCAGGTCATTTTTTACCTGAAATAAAATAAACATGAAAAATAAGTAAAAAAAAAATTAAAATTAATTTAAAACTTACTAAATGGGTTGCCTCCCATCAAACACTTGTTTATAGTCTATAGCTTAACGTTTTGGATGTTTTGGGCTAGTATATATGTACTGGAGTGCTTGTTGGAAAACAAGTAGTTATATCTTCTCCGCTCATCTCGAACCAGATAACTACAAAGCTTTTGATAGCTTTGTCCTCTTTGCTTTTGCTGTCTTGCTGTCTCTAGATAATCTCATGTGTGTAATCCACTTTTAGCTGTAGCTCTTCCATATTTTAGATGATCCATCCAGTGTTGTTGTTGAGAGGGAAGTAGATTGCATCAATCTTCCTATAGAACTCATCAAACAACCTCTGTTAAGCTGTGTTAATATCAGCTTTCTTCTCCTCAACTTGATTTCTTAAATAGATCTCAGGTGGTGGGCGATTTGGAGATGTAAGCCGGAAACATCCAACATACTCTGGTAGACTCAATAATAGCCTCCTTAACTGTCTGCAATCTCAAGTATTGTTTTCATATTTTCTTTTGAAACATTGATGGTTCTCCCATCTATTGCATGTGCACGCTCCAACTGACTCTAGCAACTCCATATTCATCTGTTGAAAGGATATTTTATAGTTGTCTAGATCTTCTAAATATAGGAGGAACAACTGGTTGTTCTGTGTTGATTTGTCTGGATTTGGGAACTTTGGGATGTCGATCGATGCTTGATGATAGGTGTCGATTGATGCTTCAGGATTATCTCCAGATCTAAGACACAAATCTCATTAATCCATTAAACGTTTAAAAAAGTTCTAAACCTAACTAAAAGACTATTCAGACATGGAAACACAAACACAAGAAGAAGATAAATAATGCCTATATAAAATGGGCAATTATTTTAAATAGATTTTTTTAAAAGTTTTTATCACAAATATAGATCTTAAAACTAAAATAACCAAAAAACTATTTTTTATTTTGAAAAATTTAAGTTTTTTTATAAAAAAAAATTGAAAATCCTATCCCAAAACCTAACTCCTCAATGTTAAAAAAAGAATCCAAGATAAATTAAACCAAAAGGTATATAAGTGTATATTTACTTACTTTTGATAAAATATTTAAGTATGTTTTAGGCATTTTTATTTTTAAGATTTATATTTGTGACAATTTTTTTTTAAATATATCTTAGAGAATTTTTTATATAAATATCATTGAGAATTTTTTATATAAATATCATTGAGAATTTTGCATATAAAAATCTCTTCTTGAAAATATTTCAGATCTAAATATCTATTTTAGATATAAGAGCATCCACAATGGTGGATTCCATTGTGGAGTCCTTAGGGACTATTTTAATATATATTTTTTTATTTTTTTTATTGAATAGTTAAGGACTCTTAGCAAAATAAGCAGTCTAATGGTGGATTCTTTTTAGGAGTCTTTAGGAAAAAAAGTGTTTTTTTGTTAAACATATGAAATTTGTAATTTTATTACAGATTCAAACCACGAAGTTCAGCTCTTTCTCCAGTCACCATCATGTACTTTGGAACATCTTGTGAAACCTATATCCAATCTCACCAGTGAGTATCCACTAGAAAAAATTCGAGGAACTGAGACTATGAGATGAAGATATACCACAGAACCACCACCAATGAAAGCGAAAGAACCAATATGACATAACTGGTGGACCACCGTGGCTCCTGCTGTGTGTGTATCCTGCATCAAGAACATGAACCCACACTGCTAAATCCAGGTTTGAAGTATAGATAGACACAAGGAAAGATCTTACTTCTACAATCACATGGCCTGCAAGAAGTGTATTGTTGGCAAATATGTTTCGGTCACCAATCTTGCAATCATGGGCGATATGACAAGAGCCCAATCTTGCAATCATGGGAGATCAAAAGGGAGTTACGTCATGAGGACACAAGAATCCCCCAACTCTTTGTTTCCAAATATATGACTAGAAGGATAGAGTTTGCAGCCATTTCCTAGCTTCACTGAAGAGCCAACTGTACAGTATGGACCAACTGAAACTCCCTGTTAGAAGAAGAGGAAACAACATTTGTCGTATTATAAACCAATCTCTCAAACAAAAGCAACACACTTTGGCCAGGTTCCAACTAAACCCATCTTGTTTTATGAGTGATTAGCTATTCCTTCCATATTTCAAGATTACCAAGAAGTTTTGGATAAAAATCAAAACTTTCCGATGACAACACTTAGGTGGACCACAGCACTTGGATGTATGAATACATCAGAACCTCTCGCTTCTTCACAAGAATCTGTTCCAAACCACACAATGTTCACAGCTTAGAGTAGAGATAAACTATGCTAATCACAAAAGCACCAGTGGGAAGCGATAGATAGAGAGAGAAAAAAAGGTTTACACGAGAGGTTAGAGGAGAGACAACGGTGTATAGAGGAAGTGAAGAGAGGAGATAGAAGCCTCTCGCGAGCTTTAAGAAGAGAAATCATGGCGGCGGGCTAAGTAGAGCAAAGACAAAACCACTTCGATTTCATACATGTGCTGTTTGTGTTCGACGAAATGCCTCAAAGAATTGACTAAACAATGTAATCTCTCAAACCAACGTAATCTCTGCCAACGATGAGGGCAGAGTTGCGAGCAGGGATCGAAGCTCTCCCAGCCATATTGATTCAACGTAACGCTTTCTCTTCTCTTCTCTTTGACGCCACGTCGATACCGGATCGAGTCTGTAAAATCCTTATCGAAGGATTGCTCCTTACCATTCCTTATTTTTTTAAAATATTTTTCCATACGTGTGATCATATGTTAATGAGCTAAGGATTCCACATGAATCCCCGTTGCATGTGCTCTAAGAAAAGACAGATTAGTCAAAAGATAAAATAAAGCTGAGATAAAAAAGATGATGAACCCTTAGGTTTTTATAGTGCTTTAGAAATTAGGCTAAAAGTAATTTACGTGAAACGCAAAACGCCAAACGCCAAACGCCAAACGCAAACTATATCGTGTCTGCGTTTCGAAAAACGCGCGATTTCAAAATCGCGTTTGGTCTTTGTTGAGTTATGAAATAAATATGAGATGAGAGGTTTACACTTAGAGAAGAGAAGAAGGGTTATGATGGTGTGTACGGACAAGAAGTGTCCGTACACTAGAGTTACCATGGTGAAAATGAAAGTTACTGTGGTAAAGAAGGTAAAGAGTGATCAGCAAGTAAGAAGAGTGGAAGGCTCTAGTTGGGAAAGAAGGAATGACTAGTGTTCGGATATACAAGGAAGAGTAGTGACCGTTTATGGATAAGAGAAGGAGGCTTTACCTTTACAGCTGGAAAGGGATCCGGTCAAGATGCCATCTTGCGTGTGAAGACTCTCCACCATTCATTTGAAATAGGCGCGCCACTCTCCCTTGACTTCACATGCTTGGGAAACCTCTTTATGACTTCTTGTATACGAAAACCCTTATGCTCAGTCTTATATAAACCATGTAACCTATCATTATTAATGTTAAGCAATCTTTTGAGTCTCATTCTCTCTCTAAGTTACTATTGAATCTGGTTTATAATCTCTCTTAAATCTCTCTTAATCTCTTTGATTCTTCTTTAATCTTTCTCTAATCTCTTTACTTGTCTCACAAATCCTCTAAACCACTAAAAACAATATGGTATCAGAGCCAGGTTAGAGGATTTGTGGGTCGTTTGTGTGAGTTTTGAAGAAATCTACTTTTGTGTTCTTGAGTGTTCTTGAGTGAGGTGTGTTCAAGCTTGTTTCTTTGGAGGATTCAAGCTAAGTCCGAAGTATTTCTGTAGATATCTAAGTACTGTGAGTACTCTAGTATACTCTTGTGACTTTGTTCCAAAGATCTAAGCTTTTGCAAGTAAGATGGATAGTGGAATGAAGATGAAGGTTCCGGTTGTACTCAAAGGAGGAAACTACCTCTTGTGGTCTAGGCTGGTCAAGACAGCAGTGGGAAGTAAGGGTTTGTGGAGTCATATCACATCTGGAGTGGCTCCAAAGCTCATTACTCACAGAGATGATGGTGAAGAGGTCACCACAACTGATGAAGATAAGTGGGAGCAAGAAGACCTGTTGGTGCTCTCCGTTCTTCAAGGATCTGTTGATCAATCTATCTTGGAGGCTTATAGTTACTGTACTAAAGCCAAGGAGCTGTGGGATACGCTCAAGAAGGTCTATGGGAATACATCAAATCTCAGTAGAGTCTTTGAAGTGAAGCATGCTATTAACACATTGGTTCAAGAGGATATGGCGTTCACTAAACACCTTGGGAGGTTCCGGGCACTTTGGTCTGAGCTAGAGATGTTGCGACCAAGTACAAATGATGAAGATGAGCTGATTGAAAGGCGTGAACAAGACAAGGTCTTTGGCCTTCTCCTCACCTTGAATCCGGCTTACAATGGGCTTGTAAAGCACATTTTGAGGTCTGAGAAGCTGCCTTCTCTTGAAGATGTATGCGCTCAGATACAAAAAGAGGAAGGGTCTATTGGGTTGTTTTGTGGAAGCAAAGGTGATCTCACCATGGCGAATCAGGCTAAGGGAGAAGCTAGTTTGGTTAAGGAGGAAGATACTTCTCAAGCTAACAAAGCAGGCTACCACAACAACAAGTATGAGGATAGGAGGTTCAATGGCACTTGTGATCATTGCAAGAAGCATGGTCATAAGAAGAGCCAATGCTGGATCCTCCTTCCTCATCTCAAGCCGGCTAAGTTCATGAAGGAGAGGGAGGCTAGAGCCAATGTTTCAGAAGGAAATGGAGCTGGTACAAGTAAGGCAAATGCTGGAGAGGGTAATGAGTCAAAAAATGGGAAGTCTCTAATGGCGTATAACCAAGGTGGTAAAGAGTATCTCCGCAAATCCGACCTTGATGCTCTCATCAAACTCTTCAAGGATAACGGTATCTCTAAGCTCTATCTTATAATGCCTATAAAGTGGAACATAGTGAGAACCTTAGGCTTGCTAGAAATGATCATGAGGCTGAGAAATGGGCTAGGAACTTTAGATCACCTAGTATTCTTTGCAACAATGCTAAGGAAATGATTAAACCTTTAATTGTGGATTCTGGAGCTTCCCACCATATGATCAGTGATATATGTTTGATTAAGAATATAGAACCTACTAGTGGTAATGTCATGATAGAAATGGTGATAAAATTCCTATAAGAGGCATAGGAAATTTAAGATTATTTAACAAGGACTCTAAGGCTTTCTATATACCTGAATTTGCTTCAAATTTGTTATCCGTTAAGAAATGTACAAATGACTTGCAATGCAATGTCATATTCACTCCTAATGATGTCAATTTTCAGGATATTAAGAGCAACCAAGTGATTGGAAGTGGGATTACTAAAGGCGACCTATATTTGCTTAAAGATCTTACTTCAGTTTCTGATGCTAGTTTTTCTTTTAGTTCTATTTTAAATAAAGATGCATTGTGGCATGCTAGACTTGGTCATCCTCATGTTAGAGCATTAAAACTTATGTTACCAGGTGTTTATTTTGAAAATGATAAGTGTGAAGCTTGCATTTTAGGCAAGCATTGTAAAACTGTTTTCACAAAGTCTACAACTATTTATGATAAGTGTTTTGATTTAATTCACTCTGATGTATGGACTGNAAACTGTTTTCACAAAGTCTACAACTATTTATGATAAGTGTTTTGATTTAATTCACTCTGATGTATGGACTGCACCTTGCTTATCTAGGGAGAATCATAAATACTTTGTGACATTCATTGATGAAAAATCTAAATACACCTGGTTAACACTCATACCATCTAAGGATAGAGTTCTTGATGCATTTAGGAATTTTCAATCTTATGTGACTAACCATTATCATGCTAAGATTAAAATTTTTAGATCAGATAATGGAGGGGAGTTCACAAGTCATGCATTCAAGACTCATCTAAATCAACATGGCATTCTCCATCAAACAAGCTGTCCCTACAGTCCACAGCAGAATGGTGTGGCTGAGAGAAAGAATAAGCACCTCATGGAAGTTGCTCGGTCACTAATGTTTCAAGCTAATGTACCTAAGAGGTTCTGGAGTGATGCTGTTGCTACTGCCTGTTACCTAATCAATCGTACGCCAACCAAGGTCCTCAATGATCAGGCTCCTTTTGAAGTTCTCAATAATACCAAGCCTGTCCTTGATTACATGAAAGTCTTTGGGTGTGTATGCTATGTGCTAGTACTAGGGGAGTTAAGAAACAAGCTTGATCCAAGGAGTGTGAAGGCGATGTTCATAGGGTACTCCACGGGTCAGAAAGGGTATAAATGCTATGATCCAATTGCTAGGAGGGTGCTGGTGTCAAGAGATGTCAAGTTCATAGAAGAGAAAGGGTACTATGAAGACAAGGAACAAGAAGACCTGAGTAGTTTAACTTCAGATAGAGCTGGAGTGTTGAGAAACATCCTAGAGGGGCTAGGAATCAACATGGATCAGGGTACTAAAGGAACCCAACCAAGTCCTCCCAAGACTCAACCGGCGAGTACTAATGGTCAAGATACCAACCTTGATCATGAGGGGGGGAAGTGAACCTGAAAATGTTGGTCAAGAAGATCAACAAGAAGAAGAACAAACAGGTTCTCATGACCAAGGTCCTACATCTCCAGAAGAAGATGGAAATGGTGTTGGTCAAGAAGCAAATGATGGAGAACAAGAAATAAGGATAGAAGAACCAGCCGTTCAACCATTGAGAAGAAGTACAAGGATAAGAAAGGATCCTTCCAATTGGGTTAACACACGGGTCTACTACAATGCACAAGCTGTTAAACATCCTTCTCAAGCAGTATGTTCTTTTGCTAAGTTTCCGGATGAGCATTGCATGTTTGTTGAGAGCTTGGATGAGAACCAAGTACCAAGAAGTTATGAGGATGCTATTCAAGACAAAGAATGGAGAGAAGCTGTGGCAAATGAGTCTGGAGCTATGATAAGAAATGATACTTGGTATGAGAGTATTCTCCCAAAGGGTAAGAAGGCTGTAACTAGCCGATGGATCTTCACCATCAAGTTCTTGCCTAATGGGAAGATATAGAGAAAGAAGGCCAGACTTGTAGCAAGGGGGTTTACTCAAACTTATGGTGAAGACTACATTGACACCTTTGCACCTGTTGCCAAGCTACATACCATTAGAATTGTGTTGTCCTTAGCAGTGAATCTTGAATGGGGTTTATGGCAAATGGATGTGAAGAATTCCTTTCTTCAAGGGGAGCTTGAAGATGAGGTATACATGCATCCTCCTCCGGGTTTAGATCACTTGGTGAAACCAGGGAATGTGTTGAGGTTGAAGAAGGCTATCTATGGTCTGAAACAGTCACCAAGAGCTTGGTACAACAAGCTAAGCACCACATTGAATGGGAGAGGCTTTAGGAAGTCTGAACTTGATCACACCCTCTTCACTCTCACCACTCCATCAGGTATTGTTGTCCTCTTGGTTTATGTTGATGATATCATCATAACTAGGAGTGACAATGAAGGTATACAAGCTACTAAAGACTTTCTTAAATCTGAGTTTGATATTAAAGATTTGGGAGAGATGAAATACTTCCTTGGAATTGAGATATATAGATCCAAGGAAGGCTTATTCATGTCTCAAAGGAAATATACACTTGATCTTTTGAAAGATGCAGGTATGCTTGATGGCAAGACAGCTAGGAT